ATATATTTTTAGTATTTTAGACAAAAGTGTATTAAATGGATTTTATAATWACAGCAAATTAGTTCCATAACAAATGCAATAATCAAATCATACATATATAAAAATCAGCTAAAATATACATATATATACGCTTCAATATTCATGACACTCGTGCCAAATGCAGATTCCAAATATTTTCTATTTACTTAGCTGAAAGATATGCCGGAAACACATAAGTATATGGAAATCCTTGATATAAAACTCCAAAATTTAGCTGCGATAAAAATTTCAAAATAAAAATTTTTTTTAAATAGAAATAATATAATTAGTTTTATTTTGTTCAAATTCCGCAAAACTTCAATTTGACTGAAATTTTTTGTTACAAAAGCATCGGCGCTTCAATTGGCGACAACAGTTTTTAATTAAGATATAAAGAGATTCAGCTGCGTGCTAACCAAATGTCAACATCAACACAATCGAATCAGACAAACAGCAATTAATTAGAGCCCTTTCACAGTTTGTCACAGGTGTTACATTCGGGGTACAGCCAACGGCGTATTCTATCCATAATTGTGATAATTAAACTAGCAACGGCCGAAAGCCTCTAATTATCCACATCGATTTCATTGACAATTCGAATTAACAGTCTGACAACGCGGTTTAACTGTAACGTGCGTCAGTGTCACGATTTATGGGAGACGATAGGCAGGAGCTGAAGTGTGCGGGTGCGTGGGTGTAGTCGGTGTAGTGGAAGGGGGAGCTGCGGTAGAAGAATATGGGATGAGTGCTGTTCAAGCAAACGTCGACTGCATAACTAAGATGATCATACATATATAAAACAAATAAATTTTAAAAAATATTACTTGCAAATTATAGAAGAGAGCAAACGCATGCATACCCTATAAAATAGATAAATATAAATAAATATAAAATGTTAAAAGAGAGTATACCTTATTTTGAAAATAGCAAGGTATTAAAATGCAAATATAAATCGAAACATCTTTCAAGATCTCATACATATGTATGTATGTATACCCTTTCGATATATACGCCTGTATACTGGGTATCAGAAATTTGCATTAGATATATACATACATATGTCTACCCCCATAAAATGTCAAATGGCTGAATATATGTAGAGCTACAGATAAATACTACTGTTTATCAAATGAATTATTTAAACATTTGAAAATGGGAAATCCTAGTTAATTGAAGCTTAGTGAGTRCAATAAATAAATACCCAGTTCCAGAAATAGAATAGCACGTTCGCATAACCAATGGATGTGAAAACGGCATGGTGGGGGATTTACAGTGCCGTTGAAACGTTACTAATGGAGCATTTGTGCTCAACGAACGACTTCCAGATATTTGTGTTGTCTTTATGGCAAAGTAAATCTAAATAATTAGTCGTTGCGGCTGATTCTAGATATGATCGGCCGTACGAGTCGTACTTGTCGAGTGCCAAGTGGGTTTCACCAGTAATAATCAGAAAAATCGACAACGAGCTGCGATCGTGCCTAACTCATTTCCAATTTCCGATTATAGATGCACAATTCTGGCGGCAAGTGGGCCTAAAGCAGCTGAGCAAAACTATTGAGAAGGCGAAACGGGCCAAGGACAGCTCGTATCAGCACAAGGCCAAGAACATTATCATCTTCATTGGCGATGGCATGGGCCTGTCCACGATCAGTGCCGGTCGCATCTACAAGGGACAGTATCTGAAGCATGGCCATGGCGAGGAGGAAATGCTGTCCTTTGATGAGTTTCCCTTCACAGGTTTAGCCAAGGTAAGTGGCTAGTTTTGTACTTTCAGAAAGTTGATCAATGATGCAAATTTCTAGTCAGTTAATAAATTAAACAGTCATGATTATTCAATGCAAAAATTACGTGATCTGTACGTTAATCAGTCTACCATTCTAGAGGTTTATTAACAGTAAAATCAAACTGCTAAAACTTAAGGCATAGTTTAGCTAGTCAATCATTTAGTGAGTCAATCAGTAAATCAAGCAATTATCCAGCCTATCACTTCAGAAATCTATGGTTCAATCAAGCGCCATCTCAGCTTACGATTGATGAATGCATTTTCTCAATCTCTCCTTATATTTGTAACTTTATCATTCAGTCTATTAAGCAAATCAAACTGCTAAAACTTAAGGCATAATTTAGCTAGTCAATCATTTAGTGAGT